GAGCGTGCAGCCCTCAGGCCCAGGGGAGGGTGTGCAGCAGGAAGAACCAGCTCTCCAACAGGGATTCAGTTTGTAGGGGCTAGAATCATCTTGACTCCTAGTTTGGATGACTGAAATAACCCCTGTGCCAGCATAGAGACCAGCAGCATCCTCACCCCTTCCTTGTGTGGGTCCTCGTTGGTGCCTTGGGATTGGGGTGCTGGCCTCTGGGATTGGGGTGTCTCTCTGCAGGGGTGACCCCACTCCATGCTGCTCCTCACCAACAGATCCAAATGAGTTCTCTATCTTTGTCATGCAGTTCTGATGCCGCTGTTGGATCACTGCAGTGTGCAGCCTGATGCCAGGGTCGCCTCCCACCCCTTCTTTGGGCTGAATGCCCAGATCAGGTAAGGCCTGGAGATGTTCTCAGAAAAGGGAAGGGATCGATTTTTGCTGGCGGCGGGGATTTTGCATGTTCAGACAGCTAATGGAGGAGCTTGTTTGGGTTCCCTGAGTAGGCTCATTTGATAATGCCTCATTTGATAATCCATTTGATAATGGGTTTCCATAATGGCCTCTGGGTCAGGCTGACAGACCCACCTCACCTCGATGTGGACAGGTCAGAAGTTCAACCTGAAGCCTGTTGGTGTGCGTAGCGAGGGAGAGCAACGCGTGCATCCTCCCAGGGCAGGCTGTCTCCAACCAGTCTGGGCTCCCTAGACACATGGTCTTCCTCAGCACACGAAGGCTCTCCCCTCAGGTCAGGGCAGTGTTCCTTCATTTCATGGCTCTGCTTAGCCTAAAAATAGACGGAGGCAGGAGATCTGGTGAAGGTGGCTGGCCACAGCCAGGCAGGAGCCTGTGAGTCCTTGCCTTGTGTTCCCACACCAAAGCCCAACGCAGGGCTAAGCCCTCAGCATCCCATGAGGAGGAGGAGGAAGAGGGTGCTGTGAGTAACAACCATCTTCCATAGCCAGTCGCCCGCCCTGAACCAGCTGACGTCCCTGTACGTGGGCAGGACACACGCCCTGTGGAAGGACCCAGCTGTCATGGCCTGGCTGGAGCCCCAGACCCACGAGGTGCTGCGGATGGTGGAGGCCCAGGACCCGCTGGTACAGGAGGCCGAGCACAAGTGAGTGCGGAGGGGCAGCGGATTCAGTGCCTGGGACAGAGTGGGACCAGGGACTGGCCTGGGCAGCAGTGACCCCGGGGTCACTCTCAGAGCCCCCCAGCTGCTGGTCTGATGCTGAGGGTTACACTGTGGGCCAGGAGGGCAGAGGCTCTTCCATGCTTTTCACAAATGGGAATGAAGAGCTGGACCTGCACTTCAAGTCCTGCACTGCTTTTCCTAGTCTTGGCTGTCACCTGTGCCCTGGAGATGTCCTGGAGAGGGTGGAGGGTGGCCTGGAGGGGCAGGGATCGCCACACAGGGCAGGTGGGAGCTTAGGAACACTTGCCAAGTCCCTGTGCTGAGAAACAGGAGAGAGCCATCAGATGTTGTCCTAAACCAAGGTCAGCTCGCTCTGCTGAGCACTCTGCGCCGCTCTCTGCTCTTTCTCTGGAGCTCAGCAGCTGCCTTTGGCTTACCCTAAGCCAGCTCCATCCAATATGGCCTGTCCCCTCGAGTCAGGGAAGCTGCTGACTCTGTACTTGGAGCAGCAGAAATGGGAATTTGCCTGCTAAGGGCATCCTGCTCTGTCCCCTCCCCGCTTCAGGAGGAAGATCCGGTACCAGAGCGCTCCCAGGAACATCTACCGGCACGTCATCCTCTCAGAGATGAAGGAGGCCACGGCAGCCCTGCCTCTGGTGAGGGCCCTGATGGGGCACAGGGGCTGTGGCTGTGCGTGGTGTGGTGGTGCTTGTGTCCTTGCTGGGCACATCTTAACCCCAGGCACCCACCAGACCCCAAGGTGTCCTCCCTACGGGCACAGCTTCTCCATGCCTTTGTGTTTGCTGCAGCTGGATGTGCAGCCTTCATCCCTTCTCCTTCATCCCTTCCTTCTCCTTCCCCTGCAGGAGGTGACCTCGCAGCCAGTGATGGGTTTTGACCCCCTCCCTCCTCTGGACTCCATCGTTTCTTACACCCGACCGGAAAGGTACCACCTCCACCCTGGTGCCTGTGCCGGCACAGCCGGCATGTTCCCATGTTCCCGGCACACCCTCAGCCCCGGGCCAGGCTGCATGTGGGCACTCAGTACTGACATCCTCCTCCATGGCAGAGGAAGGGTTGTGGTGCTCCCGACAGGCAGAGCTACAGGACAGACTGGTCCGGCCGCTTCCCATGGTGGTCACTGGGAGCTGTTCCCAGCAATAGGGCAAAAGCCAGGGAAAACACGGGCTGTGGCTGAACTGGGGGAGTTTGGGGTAAATAGAGGTTTAAGTACACCCAGTCCTGGGTTACACACTCACTCACTCAGCAGAGCTGGTAGAATCACAGTATCCTGGAATGGTTTGGGTTGGAAGGGACCTTAAAGCTCATCATGTTCCTCACCATAGGCAGGTACACCTTCCCCAAGCTCCATCCAACCTGGCTTTGGTAGTGCTCTTAGCAACTGGTTTGCTCGGAGTTGCAGCTGCCTGGATCAGAAACCCCTGGAAATCCCCCCATTCCCTCCCTCGGGTCTGGCTCCGTCAGGGCCGTGGTTCTCCCAGTCCTGCCATATCCCCTTGAGCAGTCACGAACTGAGCTGTCCCTTCATCAGGGTGCCACTTGTGTCTTGCAGGACAAGCCATCCCTCCAATGAAAGCACTTTATCCCTCTTTTTCCGCTCGCTGTTGCCAAATTTTAACTTGCAGGTGGGTGCATGCTGGGCTGTGGGCACATGGTTCCCACTCCAGGAGCAGCTGCTGGCAGCAGCCTGGTGCTGGTTTGGCACCGGCGTTGTCTGTGTCCCTGCCACCACAGCACTGCTGTCTTGCAGGGGGACATCCGGCATGACGGGGATGACGAGGCCGGGGCAGGGCAGGACCTTAACCAGGGGGTGAACAGGCTGATGGCGGCCATGCGGGACATGCTGGCTAACATCCAGTTCCAGGAGCCCCCCCGCGATGACAATCCCGAAGGCGATGGGGACTGGGATTGAGCCCGGGGTGTGTCTCTCCTCAAACCTTCTGACATCATTTCCCGATTTGTGTTGCACTCCAATAAAGTCACACAAATGCACTTGCTGTGGGAATGGGCTTTTTCCGGGGAGGGCGGCTGAATCCCTGGGATGGCCCTGTCCAGGGAGGGGGATTGAATCCACAGGGATGAGCCCTGTCCAGGGAAGGGAGCTGCCTCCCTGGGCCTCTCTCCTCTCTCTCAACAGGGGACAAGGACTATCTGAGCATGTCCGAGCTAATCGACAGCAGCTGTCCCTTGTCCCCATGGCAGCTTTAGTCCCCTTCTGGCCTCTTCCACACACAATTCCCATCCCATTCCCCTCCCCGTTCTTCTGGCTATTGTCCTTAATTCCCAGAGGGGTTTCTTTGCCCTCTCCTCCAGCTCCTTTGTGCTTCCTGCAGCTTCCTTCCCTCCACAAAACACTCTGCACCCTCTCACCACACTGACCCTTCCAAACGCCTTGGAGTGCCCTATGCCACTAGAATTGTGCATTGATCAGCTTTCCCAGCTTTTTAATCGTGTTTGTAGCAGAAATCATCCCCCCTCTTTGTTTCTCCATCCTTTATTTCCCCACCTTCACCTTGTAGAGCCAGGTTTGAGGTCAGCCACACTCAAACCTTAACTCATCTTTGTTCCCACAAAGCTTTTTCCTCTTTTTTGCCGAGTAATGGTGAATATGTGGATTAAGTCCTTGTTTCTGCTGTGTTGTCTCCCTAGGGGATGGAGCCAGGGTAGGTTGGCTGGGTGCAAACCCCAGATCTCAAGCCAGCCCATCACAGCTCTGTTCCCCACTGGCACATGCAAATCCCATGGTGTCCTAATCCCTGTAGCTTGGCACTGTGGCAGCACAGGACCCCATTCCCAGTGTATCCAGCTGAACCATTTTTATCCATGCCAGAGGGAAGGGCTTCCCAACGGAAGTGGATAAGCGTGGGATCAGCCTTTCATGGAGCTGTGAATGGCTCTTTGGCAGCCGAGCAGCTCCAGGCATCAACACGGACCCAAGGCACATGATGGTCAGATGGGGTCTGTGTCCCCCCCCGCCTGCCTGGGATCCCTGTGGCACCAGGCTCTGCAGTGTCCCATTTAATCATGTCTTTGACGATTCATATCGGATCCCACGCCTGCCCCATGGCGCAACACCTTCCCTAGGGCTCTGGGGCTGGGACCCCTCCCAATCCCAATGTGTGGGGCAGCTTGGTTCCTGCAGTGGGCAGGGTCCCATGGGGGTCCCCAGGGTGTGTGGACACCCCAGGGTGTATGGATGACCCCCAGGGCACATGAACCCCTGTAGGACATACAGGCCTGCAGGGCACATGGGACCCCTCAAGTCACACAGTCCCCCAGAGTGCCTCCAGCATACGTAGGACCCCAGGACACATGGAGACTCGAGGTGCCTCGTCCCCCCAGGGCACAGAGGACCCCTATGGCACACAACCCCCCACAGTGCATGACCCCAGGGACGCAGGGACCCTCCCAGGGCATTTATGACTCCTGGGCACATGGTGACCCCAAGCAGTCACGTCCACCAGGGCCATCCTGGAGGTCTGGCAGCCCTGGCCTTGGCAGTGGCCCCACTCGCTGCCAGGGTGCCACCGTCATGCAGATGCCCACCCTCCTCGGGAGGAGGAGCCACGAGAGTCGGCTTTAAAATGGGGCAGAGAAAGGGCCCTTTCTTCCCAGCACCCTGGGCCGGCGGGCGTAGGACGTGGGGCAGCGCTGGCACAGAGAGTGGCCGCCACACCGGGGGGTCCCGGCAGGCACGCGACACCCCCGGCACACCCCACACCTCCCATCCCCAGTTCCTCTGTGTCCCCTCGGCCTTGCTGCCGGGCGCCACAGGAGCACTGGCGGGGCACAACAGGGGCTCGAGGGGTGTGTGGGTGCCACAGGGTGCCCCGGGGCTGAGGCAGGGGCCATGTCGACACTGGCCCCCCTGCGTCTGCTGCGCGAGCCCTGGAACGCCAGTGAGGGCAACCAGAGCAACACCACAGTCGGAGCCAGCAGCGGCTGGTGCCAGGGGCTGGACATTCCCAATGAGCTGTTTCTGGCACTTGGGCTGGTGAGCCTGGTGGAGAACCTGCTGGTAGTGGCCGCCATCCTGAAGAACAGAAACCTGCACTCACCCACCTACTACTTCATCTGCTGCCTGGCGGTGTCTGACATGCTGGTGAGCATCAGCAACCTGGCGGAGATGCTCTTCATGCTGCTGCTGGAGCACGGGGTGCTGGTGATGCGCCCCAGCATTGTCCGCCACATGGACAACGTCATCGACATGCTCATCTGCAGCTCTGTTGTGTCCTCCCTCTCCTTCCTGGGGGTCATCGCTGTCGACCGCTACATCACCATCTTCTACGCCCTGCGCTACCACAGCATCATGACGCTGCAGAGGGCCGTGGTGACTATGGCCAGCATCTGGCTGGCCAGCACCGTCTCCAGCACCGTCCTCATCACCTACTACCACAGCAACACCATCCTCCTCTGCCTCATCAGCTTCTTCCTCTTCATGCTGATCCTCATGCTGGTGCTCTACATACACATGTTTGCCCTGGCCCGCCACCACCTCCACAGCATCTCCAGCCAGCAGAAGCCTCCCACTGCCCACCACAGTGGCAGCCTGAAGGGTGCTGTCACCCTCACCATCCTCCTGGGGGTCTTCTTCATCTGCTGGGGGCCCTTCTTCTTCCACCTCATCCTTATTGTCATCTGCCCCACCAACCCCTTCTGCACCTGCTTCTTCAGCTACTTCAACCTCTTTCTCATCCTCATCATCTGTAACTCGGTGATTGATCCCCTCATCTATGCCTTCAGGAGCCAAGAGCTCCGACGGACGCTGCGGGAGGTGGTGACGTGCTCCTGGTAGGCAGCGGGACGCGGTACCGGCACGGCCATCCCCACCCCGAAACGGACGGATGGATGGACTGGTGAATGGATGGGATGAGCCACGGGATGCCCCCGTCCGGGCTCGCAGCTCGCGGTTCCCAATAAAGGCTCTTTGCAGTGACGCTATGGCTGGCATCGGGCAGCCCCGGGCAGCCCCGAGGGGGACGGCCCCTCCCTGCCTATTCCCGGCTCAGTTGCTCCCAGTGGGGACCGGCTGGGACCGGGAGGAACCGGCAGGGCGGCGGGAGGCTGGTTTCCACGCGGGGGGCGGCCCTGGCCGCCCCCGGACAAAGGGCCCATCCCTGTCGTCTTTGTTCTCGGGCCGCGCCCGCCGCCGCCCACCCCGGCACCGGCACCGGCACCGGCCCTGTCCCCGATGCCGCGGGGGCTCCCGGCGACCCGACCACCCGGGTTGGCCTCTCCGTGTCTTGTCCCTATCTCCCCGTTATGGGACGCAGTTTGGGGGGTGTCCCGTGTGCATGTCCCCTCCGCCCCGCCGCCGCCGCTGCCGCCGCCGCCGCCCCAGGATGCTCCCGACGATGCCGCGCGGTCCCAGGATGCCCCCATGGGTCCCGGGGTGTCCCCGTTCCCGGTGGGTGCAGGGGGTGCCCCCTGGCCGTGCCCCCCGCGGCTGCCGGGGCTCCCCGCTCCGCCGCGGCGTGGCGTGGCCGTGGGCGTGGCCGTGGGCGTGGCCGTGCGGGGCGGCCCGGGCGGTGCCGGTGCCGCAGGGCTGTTGCAGCGCTGCGGCGGCGGCCGCTGATTGGCTGCGGGCGGCGGTGACGTCAGCGGCCGGCTCGGTGCGGCGGCGGGCGCCTATAAAGGCGGTGGCGGCGGCGGGTCCGCCCCCCGCGCTCCCGGTGCCGCTCTGCTCCGGTGCCGCTCCGCTCCCGGCCCCTGCCCGCTCCCGTCCCGCTCCGCTCCGGCCCGGCCGCACCATGAGGGAGATCGTCCACATCCAGGCGGGGCAATGCGGCAACCAGATCGGCGCCAAGGTAACGGCGGCGCCGCCCCGCCCCGCCCGCCGCGGCGGAGCCGGGCGGCGGACAAAGACCGGCTCGCCCTCCCCTCCCCTGCCCTCCCCCCGCTCCCGCCGCACCGGGAGGACAAAGCGCCCCGCCCCCTCCCGCGCCCCCCACCCCCCGCCTTTGTCCGTCAGCACCGCGGACAGCGCCCTCCCGGAGCCGCGCCCCACCCGGGGCTTGGGGGGTCCCGGTGCCACTCGCCCTGCTGAGTCCCAACCGGGATTTGGGGGATCCCGGTGCCTCTGCCCCGCCCTGACTGGGGGTTGGGGGTTCCCGGTGCCACTCGCCCTGCTGAGCCCCTCCCGGGGTTTGGGAGGTGCTGGTGCACCCCCTCCTGCTCTGCCTTGGCCGGGGTTTGGGGGTCTCAATGCCCCTGCCACGCCCTGACCAGGGCTTGAGGAATCCCAGTGTCCCCTGCCCCGCTGAACCCTGACCAGGGTTTGGGGGATCCTAATGCCCCTACCACACCCTGCTCAGGGATTTGGGTGTTTGTGGCGTCCCAGTGTCCACTGCTCTGCCCAGTCCTGGCCAGGGATGGGGGGATCCCCCTGCTCCCTGCCTTGCCCGGGGTTTTCGGGGTGTCTCAGTGTACCCCACCCTGCTGAGCCCCCTGTCCTTCCCAGTTCTGGGAGGTGATCAGCGATGAACATGGCATCGACCCCAGTGGCAACTACGTGGGGGACTCGGACCTGCAGCTCGAGCGCATCAGCGTCTACTACAATGAGGCCTCTTGTAAGCGACCCCCCCCAGCACCCCCCTGGAAGGGCAGCCTGGAACCCCCACCCTGGGCTGCAGGGGGGCACCCCAGTCTGACCCCCCAGTGCAGCAGGAGCTGGGACTGTTGGGGCAGGGAGGGGGAGGAGATAGAGGTTCCCACCCCATGGGGGTCTAGGAGGGCACCCACCCCGTGAGACCCTGTGGTTTGCAGGGTTGTAGTGGGGGGAGTCATGTGCACCCAGTTCCATGGAACTCTGTGGTTTGGGAGGGGAACAAGATGTACACCCACCCCATTGGACCCTGTGATTTGTGGGGCGGGGACACACACAACACCTTTACCCCAGCCCTGTCGGACCCTGGTGCACACCCACCTCGTCAGACCCTGTGGTTTGGGGGAGGCAGGGTGCACATGTGCATGCAGCCCCATAGGACTTTGTGATTTGGGGGGGAGCATAACATATTCACACATCCCTGTGGGACCCTGTGGTGTGGGGGGGGCCATGACATGTGCACACAGCCCCATGGGACCCTGTGGTTTGGAGGGAGGGCAACACTTGCACCCACCTTGTAGGACCCTGTTGTGTGGGGGGAGATATGACATGACACGTGCTCCCACCCCAGGGGGCTGGGGGCCGGGGGGGGGGCAGACATGTGACCCTGTGGTTTGGGTGGGGCTTGAGACATGCATCCACTCCATAAGACCCTGTGATTTGTGGGGGGACACAGTCTGTGTGCCCAGCCCCATGGGACCCCGCAGGGTGCTGGGAGACACCCCTGGGGGTTGGGGTGGGGTGGCAGCAGATACCCTCCCTTCACGGGGTCTCTCTCAGCTCACAAGTATGTGCCTCGTGCCATCCTGGTGGACCTGGAGCCAGGGACAATGGACAGCGTGCGCTCAGGCGCCTTCGGCCACCTCTTCCGCCCGGACAACTTCATCTTTGGTAGGTCCCTGAGGAGGGAGGAGGACACTGCCCCCCGTGTCCCCTCCAGTCCCCTGAGTCCCCTGCCCCGCCCGACCTGTTGCCATCCCTGGGGCATTCAGCAGGCACTCCCCTCCCGCGCCGCAGGGCCTGGCACCTCCGGCACGCCGCCAAACCTCTGTGGTTCCCACTTCCCACCCCACCCCGGCGTCAGATCTCCCGGTGCTGCCGGCGGCAGCACCCGGTCCCAGCCCGGATCCCCTCCCCAGAGCCCTCTGGCGAGGGCGTGGGGAGCCAATGGCAATCGGAGCCTCTTTTCCCAGGGCAGAGCGGTGCCGGGAACAACTGGGCAAAGGGGCACTACACGGAGGGGGCCGAGCTGGTGGACTCCGTGCTGGACGTGGTGCGGAAGGAGTGCGAGAACTGCGACTGCCTGCAGGGCTTTCAGCTGACCCACTCGCTGGGTGGGGGCACAGGCTCGGGCATGGGCACCCTGCTCATCAGTAAGGTGCGGGAGGAGTACCCCGACCGCATCATGAACACCTTCAGCGTGGTGCCGTCCCCCAAGGTGTCGGACACGGTGGTGGAGCCCTACAATGCCACGCTCTCCATCCACCAGCTAGTGGAGAACACGGATGAGACCTACTGCATCGACAATGAGGCGCTCTACGACATCTGCTTCCGCACCCTCAAACTGGCCACCCCCACCTACGGTGACCTAAACCACCTCGTTTCAGCTACCATGAGCGGTGTCACCACCTCCCTGCGCTTCCCTGGCCAGCTCAACGCTGACCTCCGCAAGCTGGCTGTCAACATGGTGCCCTTCCCGCGTCTCCACTTCTTCATGCCGGGCTTCGCCCCTCTGACAGCACGCGGCAGCCAGCAGTACCGTGCCCTCACCGTGCCTGAGCTCACCCAGCAGATGTTCGATGCCAAGAACATGATGGCTGCTTGCGACCCCCGCCATGGCCGCTACCTCACCGTGGCCACTGTCTTCCGTGGCCGCATGTCCATGAAGGAGGTGGACGAGCAGATGTTGGCCATCCAGAGCAAGAACAGCTCCTACTTTGTAGAGTGGATCCCCAACAATGTCAAGGTGGCTGTGTGCGACATCCCACCGCGGGGGCTGAAGATGTCCTCCACCTTCATCGGGAACAGCACAGCCATCCAGGAGCTCTTCAAGCGCATCTCAGAGCAATTCACAGCCATGTTCCGCCGCAAAGCCTTCCTACACTGGTACACAGGTGAGGGCATGGACGAGATGGAGTTCACCGAGGCCGAGAGCAACATGAATGACCTGGTGTCTGAGTACCAGCAGTACCAGGATGCCACAGCTGAGGAGGAGGGCGAGATGTATGAGGACGACGAGGAGGAGTCGGAGGCACAGGGTGCCAAGTGATGCCTGATGCCACCCCCCGACGCTGCCCGCGGCCCCCCTGGCTTCGCGCTGCTGCACCCCCCGGGTGGTGCCCCCCCTGCCGTCCCCTCAGTGTGTCCTGCCCCCCTGCCCCCCTGAGCCAGCTCGGCTCCCCACCCCTCCGTCCCACCTCCCCCCCTTTTCGTTTTTTACTGGTTCGTGTCTATTATTTTTTTTGAATACTTAATAAATTTATTGCTGTCCAGGTACTACCTGTCTGTACTCCTGGGAAGGGGGACAGAGGACACCCCCACTGCTCAGTCCCCTCAGCCATTCCCACAGGAGGGGGGTGGTTGGGGAACCCCCCATACCTAAGCCATGACAATACCCCTGTGTCCACCTGTGTCAGCCCATGGGCACCCCCGGGTTGTGCACTGCCCCCCACCTTCCTGCCCCACAGGTTCAACCCCTCAAGATCTGGGGGTGAAGGTACTACCGAGGAGGATGGTGCCTTTGTCCCCACTGTCACCTTTCTCCATGATGAGAGGGAGTGGAGGGTGGCAGCTGCCTCCCTGTGCCAGGACAGAGTTGGTCCTTTGTCCCCCAAGCTGTGGTGGGGGTGCTCCACCCAGGGTGCTCCCACAGGGAGCATGTGCCCAGTTGTGAGAGATCTGAGGCACCCCCAGACCTGAACCCCCTGGCTCTGGGGACCACCAGATGATGGGGCTGGGGGCTATAGGGACAAGGGACTCTGTGAATGGAGGCTGTAGGGACAAGAGATGATGGGGCTGGGGGCTGGGGGGATGGAAGCTGTAGGGATGGGTACAATGGGGCTGGAGGTTTCAGGGAGATCTAAAAGGGATAGTGCAGATGTCGCTGTAGGGATGGGAACAGCGGGGCTGGGGAGTGTGGGGCTGGGGACAGTGCAGGTGTCACTGTGGGGCTGGGCACAGCGCGGGTGTCGCCGTGGGAGTGGAGGCTGTGGGGGTGGGCACAGCGCGGGTGTCGCCGTGGGAGTGGGGGCTGTAGGGGCGGGCACAGAGCGGGTCCGGCGCGGCCCCGCCCGGACGGGCTGGGTGCCGCTTGGTCCGCCGGCCGGCAGGGGGCAGCAGCGCGGCAGGGCGGGGCCATAGGTGGGCGGGGAACTCTGTGGGCGTGGCCACGGCGGGGCGATCGTGTCGGGGCGGAGCGCGCGGGCAGGCGCGGCTGCGCGCGCGGTGAGCGGGGAAGGGGCGCTGCCCCCTGGCGGGCGGGCGGGGGCGCGCGGGGGCTCCGCGGGGTCGGGACAGCGCGGGGACAGCGCGGGGACAGCGCGGGGCCCGCGGGGGGCCGGGGACGGTGCGGATACGGAGTGACCATCGGCCGAGGCGGGCGGTGGCGGCGGGGCAGGGCGGGGGCACGGGCGTGGGAGGCGGAGGAACAGGTCTGTCCGCGGGGACGGGGTGTTGATGCCAGAAGCGGGGTGTCGGTGACGGTCCTGGGGTGTCAGTGCTGGTGACAGGGTGTCGGTGCCGTTGTCGGTGCCAGTGCCGGGCTATCGGTGGGTGTCAGTGCCGGTGAGGAGATGTCGGTGCTGGGGTATCAGTGACGGTGCTGGTGACAGTGTGTTGGTGCCGGTGAGGGGCGTCGGTGCCCGTGACGATGTGTCGGTGCCAGTGCCAGGGTATCAGTGCCGGTGACATGGTGTTGGTGACGGTGTCAGTGCTGGTGCTGGGATGCCAGTGCTGGTGACAGGATGTTGGTGACAGCGTTGGGGCCGTTGAGGCAGTATCGGTGCCTGTGATGGGGTGATTGTGATGGTGCCAGGATGTGGGTGTTGGTGATAGGGTGCAAGTGCCTGTGAGAGGGTGATGGTATTGGGGTGTCAGTGCCGGGGTGTCAGTGACAGTGTTGGTGCCGGTGCTGGTGGGGTGTGGCTGAGGTGGGGGGCTGGTGCCAGTGTCACCCTGACACTGTCCCCCAGCAGGACGGTAACAATGGCGTCGGACGAGCGGCTGGCCCGCTTCCGCCAGGCCCACCTCAACCCCTTCAACAAGACCCCCGAGCAGCCAGAGCGCCCCGACGGAGAATCCCCTGTCCCAGGTGGGTGTTGACTCACTGGGGTAGGCAGCGGGGCCCAGCCCCACCATGGTATCCCCCTATTCCGGGGTGTGCTCAGCCCCCCCATGGTACCCCACTTTGCAGCCCAGCAGCCGGATCCCACCCCAGGGGACCCTGAGGGCGCCCTGGACCTGGGGCTGGCCGAGGACCACTTCTCCCGCCCTGTGGTGAGTGGGGTGGGCACTCTGGGGATGGGGAGGGTTTGGGGAGCTCAGCTCACCCTCCGCCTCCTCTGGTGGTGGCTACAGGGGCTGATCCTGGCATCTGACGTGCCGCAGCTGCGCCGGGCCATTGAGGAGTGCAAGCGGGTGATCCTGGCATTGCCTGAGCACTCGGAGCGGCAGAAGGATGCCGTGGTCCGGCTCATCCACCTCCGCCTCAAGCTGCAGGAGCTGAAGGTGGGACTGGGACTGGACCTGGGGGGGCCTCCATTGCTGGGGGGGGCATGCTGATCCCCCTATCCCTGGAAGTGCTCCAGGCCAGATTGAATGGGGCTTGAAGCAACCTGGTCTAGGGGAAGGTGTCCTTGCCCATGGCAGGGGGGGACTGAATGGGTTTGAGATCCCTTCCAACCCAAACCATTCCACAGTTCTGTGATTCTCTGCCTCCTCCTTTCCACCCTGCAGGACCCCGGCGAGGACGAGCCCAACATCCGTGTGGTCCTGGAACATCGCTTCTACAAGGAGAAGAGCAAGAGTGTCAAGCAGATGTGCGACAAGTGCAGCACCATCATCTGGGGGCTCATCCAGACCTGGTACACCTGCACAGGTGGGTTTGGGACACCCCCTCTGTGTCCCTGTCCCCCCTATCCCTACACTGACATCCTCCCATGCCCCCCAGGCTGCTACTACCGGTGCCACAGCAAGTGCCTGCCGCTGGTGAGCCGGCCATGCGTGCGGGCCCAGGTGAGCCACCGTGCCGAGTACCAGCTCAGCATCTGCCCCGAGAGCGGGCTGGACAGCCAGGACTACCGCTGTGCCGAGTGCCGTGCCCCCATCTCTCTCCGTGAGCCCCCACACCACCAGAGGGGCTGGGGGCTGGATGGGGCTGGGGGGAGCTGGGGGCTCTTGGGGCTGGGGAGTGTATGGGGTTGGAGAGAACTGGGGGGGCTGGACTGAGCTGGGGGCTCTGTGGGCCTGGGGGGAGCTGGAGGCTCTGTGGGGCTGGGGGCTGAGGGGTTGAGCTGAGGGGGCTGGAGGGGTTGAGGGGAACTAGGGACTCGGGGTTGGCTGGGGGTAGCTAGGGGCTCTGTGGGGCTGGGGGGAGCTGGGAGTTGTGTGGGGCTGGGCTCCCTTGGGGGCTCTGTGGAGCTGCGGGGAAGGGGGGGCCAGGGCTGCCTGGGGCTGAGGTGCTGTGGGGTGGGAGGTGTGTGAGGCTGGGGAGAGCTGAAAGTGGGGGCTCCTAGGGCTATGTGGGACTTGGAGCCATAGGGAGCTGGAGAAGGTGACATTGTGGCCCCACCATGTCCCTGGGTGCTGGTGAGTGTCCCAGGGGTGCACATGGTGTGGGACAAACAGGGGGCAGGGTGGTGCTGGTGCCAGCCCTGTGCCAGCCCCGTGCCACCACAGGGGGGGTGCCCAGCGAGGCTCGACAGTGCGACTACACCGGCCTCTACTACTGCTCCAGCTGCCACTGGAACGACCTGGCTGTGGTGCCCGCCCGTGCCATCCACAACTGGGACTTCGAGCCCCGCAAGGTGCCCCTGGCAGAGGGTGGGGGCACCCCAGGGGGTCATGGGGCTATGGCTCTGGGTAGTGGTTACTTGGGGGGCCACGTCCCTGGTCGTGGGGGTCCCTGGGAGCTGCATCCATGGGTAGAGGTGACTTGGGGGGCTGTGTACCTTGTCATGGGGGTCCCTGGGGGCCATGTCCCTTGATAGAGGTCACTTGGGAGGCCACGTCATGGGGACATGTCTTGACTATGGGGGTCCCTGGGTAGAGATCACTTGGGTTGGGCCGTGTCCTCAGGGCTGTGTCCCTGCAATGGGTCCCTGCCAGGGGTCCCTGGAGTGGTGGCGGCAGGGCTGGTGGGTGCCGGGGGTGACGGTGCCCCGGTGGTGGTGGCAGGTGTCACGGTGCAGTATGAGGTACCTGGCACTGATGGTGTCACGGCCGGTGCTGAAGCTGCGGGAGATCAACCCACTGCTGTTCAACTATGTGGAGGAGCTGGTAGAGATCCGGGTGAGTGCTGGATCCAAGGGGACACCCCAAGGGGCAGGGGACACCCCACGGGGCTAGGGGTGAAACTGTGGAGGAAGCCTGGGGTGAGCAGGAGGTGGGGGGACCCTGGTGGCTCCCGCTGAGTCCCACAGAGGGAAAGCAAGGTGAGGTGGGGGGTTTGGGGCAGAGGATGCCCAGACTGCTACAGGGATGAACTTGACCCAATTTGGTCTTGTCATGCTCCTATCTCCATCCCGTCCCCATCCCATTCCCAACCTTATCCCCGTCCCCATCCTGCTCCTGCCACTGCCCTTTTCCCTGTCTTGGTCCTATTCCTGTCCTATCCCTGTCCTCATTCCTGTTCCCATCCCTGTCCCCATTCCAATCCCATCTCTGTCCTTATTCCTGTTCCCATTCTTGTCCCCATTCCTGTACCTATTCCCATCCCATCCCTGTCCCCATTCCCATCCCACTCCCGTCCCAATCCCCATTCCCATCGTGTCCCATTCCCACACCATCCCCATCTCATCCTCACCCCATCCCCGTCCTGCTCCTGCTGCCACCCTTTTCCTGTCCTTGTCCCATCCCTGTCCGCACCCATCCCCATTCCTGTCCCCATTTTCATCCCATTCCCATCCCACCCCATCCTGCCTTGTGCCCTGCAGAAGCTGCGCCAGGACATCCTGCTGATGAAGCCCTACTTCATCACCTGCAAGGAGGCGATGGAGGCGCGGCTGCTGCTGCAGGTCAGGCCCAGGGGTGCTGGGGGGCCACAGGGGGCCAGGACCAGGTGCATCGGTGACAGTCACACAACGGTGATAGTCACAGTGACCTGTCCTCCGCAGCTGCAGGACCGGCAGCACTTCGTGGAGAATGATGAGATGTACTCGCTGCAGGACCTGATCGACATCGAGGCCGGGCGCCTGGGCTGCTCCCTCACCGAGATCCACACACTCTTTGCCAAGCACATCAAGCTGGACTGCGAGGTAAGCCCGTGCCATGGGGCAGAGCCAGGAGACCCCTGTGGGGCTGGTGGGTGACTGGTGGGGTCACCATTGTCTCCTGCTCCCCCAGCGCTGCCAGGCCAAGGGATTCGTGTGTGAGCTGTGCCGGGAGGGTGACGTGCTCTTCCCCTTCGACAGCCACACCTCGGTCTGTGCTGACTGCTCTGCCGTGTTCCACAGGTACCAACACACCAGGGTGGGACGGGGGCACACGGGGGTGGCATGGGGGTGACATGGCACTGTCCCCTCCCCTCCAGGGACTGCTACTATGACAATTCCACCACCTGTCCCCGGTGTGCCCGGCTGAGCCTGCGGAAGCAATCCCTGTTCCAAGACTCCGGCACGGAGGGAGAGCCCTGAGGAGGGTTTGACCTCATGGAGGGGCTCAGCCCCACAGCTGTTCCCCACCCACTACAGGACCCTGGGACAGACACAATCAGCTCCATGCCGGTTTGGGTACTGGGGTGGCCCTGGCTCCGGGACCCTCTGCCTGTGGGAACGGCGGTGCTGCCAGGGGGCACAGCTGGACCCCAGCTGTTCCTGGGAAAATGGGGACCCCTGCCGGAGGAGCCGGGATCTGGTTAACTGGGATCCGGTTAAGGCGCCACAGCGGCTCCTGCCGTCCCTGTGTGGAACCGGGGTGCGGGCAGGGATGGGGTGCAGGCAGGGATCGGTGCTCCGTTGTCGCGGGGCAGTGGGTGCTGCCAGGAGGGCTAGCCCCGGGACCGGACAGAGCCCACACACACACACTACTGGGATCCGATCTCCCCCCAGCACCGCCGTTAACGGGGCCGAACCCCAAGGAAGTTGCGGGGTAGGGGGGACCGGGCGCGGCGCGGGGCCGGTGTCTCCCCCTTCCCTCCCGGTGTTTCCTGTAGCATTAACGAGCCTCTTTGCGCAACTCAGCATTCGTGTTTCTGCTTCGGGCCGGCGGCGGGGGGCAGCGGAGGGGCTGAAGCTCCCGCGGGGCGGAGCGAACACCGGGACCGACCCCGCACCGGGCCGGTCCCCGGTCCAGCGCCGCCCGGTGGGGTGGAGTTGCGTTGTGTGGCGTTATCGGGGATGTGCCGCGGTCACCGCCAGTCTCTCGCTCACCGGGAGGGGCTGCGGCCGCGCTGTCTCGGCACCAGCCGACCCCCCCTCCCCCCGCGATGCTCCCGGGGTGTCCCGTGACCCCAACCCCTCCCGTTTGCCCCCCGACCGCGGCGCAGACGGGCAGAGGCCGGCGGTGTGTCGGTCGGTCGGTTTTACCGGATCACAGCGCTGCTACATCAGAACCGGGCCGGCATCGGCACCGGCCGCGCTCCGTCGGGCCGGGCTGGGCCGTTCGACCCGTCCCGTCCTGCCCCACCCGCCGCTCCCGGCAACCGGAGCCGTGCCGCCCCCGGGGCCCGGCGGGGCCGAACGGGTTCCCCCCCCCCGAGGCCGCGGGTGACCGGCTGTGGGCGGCCCCAGTGCCTCCCCCCGCGGGGCTGTGGCCGTCTCTGCCCTCCGGGCGGGCTAACGGGAGTCCTGCGCCCGGGGACGGGCTCCATCGGTACCGACGGGAGCAGCACCGGCGTGTCCCGGTGTCCTCCAGCAGGTCCTGTCCCTACGGCTCCCGCGGGCGCTCGGCGGGCAGGAAGGCGTCCGGGGGTCCCGGGGGTCCCGACGGCAGCTCGGGGTCACTCAGGTGCTTCTTGTCGCGGCCCTGCTCCCGCGCGCGGGTCCAGGAGGGCGAGCGCAGGTACCCGGCCCGCGGCACCGGCGGCGGCTGCAGCCCTGCGGGACGGACGGGGTGGGCGGGCGGTCAGGAACGGGCCGGTACGGGCGGACAGAGCGGGACCGGCGGCCCCGGGCCCCCCGCTCACCGCCGGGAGTCTCTCCGGCCGCGTTCTCCTCGTCGGAGTCGGCGAAGACCTCGGCTAGCTCCTGGTCCGACATGTCCGTCAGCTCCGTCAAGTCCAGCAGGTCGAAGTGCACCTCCAGCGAGGACACGCTGCTCAGGGGCTCTGCGGGCACCGGGGGGGGGGGGGCTGGAGACCCACCACTATTGCTCACGGGGTGGGTGAGGGATGAAGGGGTCGGGGGTCTGGTGTTTGGGGGCCCAGGGAGCTGGGGGGGTGAGGAGCTTGGTGGGAGCCACAACTGGCTGGGGGCTGGCAGGGGACCCCAGGGACAGGAAGGGACCCCAGGGGCTGGCAGAGACCACAGGGACAGGCAGGGACCCCAGGGGCTGGCAGGGGACCTGAGGGGCACGCAGGAGAGCCCAGGGGCTGGCAAAGGATGCCAGAGACAGGCAGGAGATCCCAGGAGCAGGCAGAGAGTGCTGTGGACAGGCAGGGAACCAGGGGCAGGCAGAGATCCCAGGGACAGGCAGGGACCCCAGGGGCTGGCAGGGGGTGTCAGGGACAGCATTGTCTCTGGGAACAAGCAGGAACCCCACACAGGGCCACACTCACGTCGACGCTCAGTGACCTGCAGCAGGCCAGCGCTGGGGATAGGGATGCCACCCTGCTCTTCTGGGGGGACTCGAGGGGTCTCCTGGGCTGGCCCGTGGGTGGGGGTCCCCGCTGGGCGCTCCAGGGCCAGCGGCTCCTTGCCGAGCTCTGCCATACCAGCACCTGCCACGTTGGTGACCGCAGCTCCCTCGGGGGCCCCCATGGGGTGCCCAGCTGAGGGGCCAGGGGGAGTGGGACCCCCGGGAGGGCCGGGGGGACGGCAGAGCTGCCCAGGATTCTCATGCCGGCAGCTGGCAGCCCCCACTCCCCGCCCCACGCCCCCTCCCCGCGCAGCCCCTTTGTGTCGGCGAGACAAAGCGCAGCCTGTGCCGGGGCCGGACAAGGGCGGATTGTGCTGGGATTGTCACCGGGAAGAGCCAGTGGGGACAAGGCGGCCGTGGCACATGGTCATGGCACAGGGTCATGGCACACAGTGGTAGCACAGCCCGTGGTTGTGGCACAAGGTGGTGGCACAGTAGTGCCTTGGGGCTCAGTGGGCACTGAAGTCAGGAGGAGCCTGTGTGCCCAGGGCAGCACCAGGGGACACACCACCCTGTCCCGTTTCCCCCCGAGGTCAGTGCTGGCTCCGTGGCACCATGTGCCACCACTGGGCCATGCTACCACCGGCCATGGTGCAGGGTGACACGGCACAGGGATGGGCATTGTCTCCCTCTCCCCAGGATTCTGACAGCGGGGCAGGGACAGAGCCCCCCAGCCCGACAGGAAAACGGACGTTGTGGGGTGTTGGATTCCTGCTCCTGGCACATGGAGCTGCGGGAGACCGGCAGAACAACAGACCCTGCTCCAACACCAGCTCTGCCACATCCTGACCCCCAGGGTGGGACTGCGCACCCCGTGCTGCTGGCACCTTCTCTCCAGCTGGGAAACTGGGTCCCCACCCCACCCCAGGGCTGGGAAGACTGCTCCCGGGGGGGACACGGGGGCTGCCCACTCCTACCACCCTAGCCCACGCAGTGCCCAGCCAGCCTCGGTGTCACGGTAAGGAGCACAGCTCCCCTGATCCCCACTACGCCTCCACCCACCAGGGCGCTGGTCCCGGCCGCGGAATTCCCCTCTGGCCTCTGCCTGCATGGTCCCGCTGCGCCACCGGCCGTGCCACCGGCCACACCACCTGCTCCGGCCTGGGCTCACCGGCTGCCTGGCGGGAGCGAGGATGGATCAAGGATCTCTCCCGCACACCGTGTGCTGACTCACGGCAACCGCAGAGCCGGGCAGCCACCGGTACTAGCACCCCATGGCACCGGGCACCCCACAGAACCTGCGGCCTGTCCCGGTGGCACTGTCCCCCCAAGGCCTGGTGCCCCCAGTGCTCCCGGTGCCACAGCCGGGGCTGCCCCACTCCGGCAGCCATGGCACAGCCATGTGCGGGGCACAGGCACAGGCGGGAGGGACAGGGGTGCAAGGGAGCCCTGGCACCGTCTCTGTCACCAGGTGCAGCCCCCCCTTGAACACCGCGGCCCCCCCCAGCTCCACTGGCATAGCTACCTCCCTGTCCCTGAGCACCTCTGCACACAGCACTAGCACAGCTGTGTGGGGTGTCTGCCGGGCACCCCACTGCTGCCCATGTCCCCTGGGTACCCCACTGCTACCCCATGTCCTGTGAGCACCCTACTGCACCCTCAAGTCCTGTGAGCACCCCACTGCACCCCCACATCCTCCGGGTTCCCCACTGCTCTTCTACACCCCTGGCATCCCACTGTCCCCCCACATTACCTGGGCACCCCATTGCAACCCCAGGTCCCCAGTGCACCCCATTACTCCGTCTGACCTTCTGGACACTCTGCCACACCTCCTGGGTACCCCACTGCACCCCTATATCCTGTGAGCATCCTAGTGCCCCTCATGTCCCCAGGGCAGTCCAGTGCTCCCTCAGACCCCCCTCAGCACCTTGTATTCTGAGTACCCCTTTGCTCCCCCCCCCATCCCAGATTCTCCATGCACAGACCCCCCGTGTCCTACCCAGGCCCCCCCACCCCACAGCCCCCCACCCCTGCAGCCGGGCACCCTCAGCACGGCCCCATGCTCCCCTATGCCCCCCCAATGCCCCCCCCCGGCACCCCCTCCCCTTGCACTCTCTCTCTTGCACTCCCGCCCTACATCTCCTTGTGCTCGCCCCGCACGCCCCGCGGGGCCCGGCCCGGTTCCACGGTGATGGGTGCTCCGGTCCGTGCCGCCTCCCCGGGCCCCCGCCCTCACCTGCGGTGGCGGCCGCTGCCGGAGCCGCCATGGGCCGGGTCCGGAGCCGGTGCCGGTGCCGGAGCTGGGCGGGGCGGGCTCGGTGCCAGCCCGCAGCCCGCACGGTCCTGTCCGCCGCGGCGGGGGCGGGGACACCGGGGCGGTGACACCGGGATGGGCGGGGACACCGGGATGGGTGGGAGGCAGGAGGGGGACAGGGGAGGGCGCGGGGGGGACCGGGGAGAGCGGGGGGGCACAGGGGACCAGGTGTGCCGCGGGAATCCCCAGGGTGCGGGAGCGGAGCCGGGGGGCTCCAGCCGCAGGGGCAGCCCGGGGCGCGGAGGTGGGCGCAGGGGTGGACGGGACTGTGCCGGGCACAGTGGGACCCCCCCGATCCGCCCGGTCCCCCTGATTCCCCCGAACTCCCCCGATTCTCCCCGGTGCCCCCGGTGTCCCCTCGATCCCGCCCCGGATCCCCCGCCGGCCCCGCCCCCGTTGCCAGGGCGGAGCGTGGCGTTGCTAGGGGGCGTGTCCGTCCGCGGCGCAACTCTCGCGAGATTTCACTTTCCTCTCGCGACACCTGCCTGACCGTTGCCGGGAGACCGCGGCGCCGGCGGCCGCCGCCATGGTGAGAGTGGGCCCGGGCCCAGGCCCGGGGGAAAGAACCAGGGCGGCTGCTGAAGGGTCCCCTGGAGCCGGGGGTGCGGACAGGGGGGAGCAGTGGGGCCCGGCCTGCCCCGGTCGGGCTTGGCCCGAGCCCCGAGGGCTGGGGGCCCCGGCCCGCTCCGCTCCCGGGGAGGGTACAGAGCCCCTCGGCGCCGTTCCCAGCGCTGCGGTGACGCTTCTGAGCTATTTGGGTACAGGTGTTTTGTGGACCTGAGCCGCTGTGACACCAGCGGTGTCACATGAACCACGGAGGTCCTGGGTGGTCCCGGAGGCTTCCAGCCTCCTCGCGGGGCCTCCGGCTTCGTGTCACTGCTCTGGCCCCGTTCCTGCCGTGAGAGCAGGGATGCTCCGGGGCTGGCACGGTGGACCTGAGCAGCACGGCTTCCCTCTCACCCAGTCACCTCCTGCGTTTGGCTTCTCAGGCACCCAAAAAGAAAGGATCGACTAAAGGGAAAGGTCCGGCAGTGGTGGATGCCTTGGACCTGGAGGACATGAGCAAGGAGCAGGTGAGAGATTCCCCAGGCCACCAAGAACAGCTATTGGAACCCCTATGTGGTGCCTGGCCTGACTCTGGGGACAACAGGTGGCAGAGGGTGACAGAGACGAGCAGCCGGGGTTTGTTGCACTGCCTGATGCCTGTCTGGGCTGGGGAGGGGCATTCTTGCTGTTCCTGGAAAGAGCAGCCACCTCATCCCACCCTCCGCTCTCCTGCCCTGTGTGCTGAGCACTGCTGAGGCACATCCAGTCCTGGGGGCAGTTCTGGGCCACTCACGGCAAGAAAGAGGGGCTGGAGCGTGTCCAGGAAAGGGAACGGAGGTGGGGAAGGGTCTGGAACACCAGGAGCGGCTGAGGCAGGCTCAGCCTGGAGAAAAGGAGGCTCGGGGGGGACCTTCTCGCTGTCTGCAGCTCCCTGACAGGAGAGTGGAGCCAGGTGGGAGTCATGCTCTGCTCCCAGGAAACAAGGGACAGGACCAAAAGAAACAGACTCAAGTTGCACCAGGGCAGGTTTAGGTTGAATATTGGGAAAAATTCTTCATGGAAAGGGCTGTCCAGACCTGGCACAGCTGCCCAGTGCTGTGGTGGAGTCCCCATCCCTGGGAGGATTTAAGAGTCATGTAGATGTGGCACTTGGGTACATGGTTTAGTGGTGGCCTTGGCAGTGCTGGGGGAATGGTTGGACTTAATCTTAGAGGCTTTTCCAACTCAAAAAATTCCATGATCCAGGAGTATTTAGACACCTGAGAATGGTGTTACTGGATACTGCGAGCCAGACACCTGTCGCAGGCTGCTGGAAGTGGGATGAGGTTTTGTGATTCCTTTTCCAGAGGCTGTTGGGTTCAGTCAGGGACCTCCCCTGCTCTATCCCAATGACAACCACCATGTCCTGCCTGGTTTGGGACATGGAGTCTCCAGAGGCACGTATCCGAGGCCTCCCCTCTGCCTTACCTGTTTCTTCCTCTCGGCTGTGCAGCTGCTGCAGCACGTCCAGCGTCTCCGGGAGGAGCTGGACCGGGAGCGGCAGGAGCGGAATTCTTTCCAGCTGGAGTGTAACAGGATTCAGAGCTGCTGGGACATCACCCGCCGGGAGCTGGAGGAGAAGAAAGCGGAGCTGCGGAGCCGGGACCAGGAGATGGAGGAGGCAGAGGAGCGGCACCAAGTGGAGATCAAGGTGGGGGAGAAGGGCTCCATGTGAGCCTTGAGCAGCTCTGAGGAGGAGAAGAAGGGGAAGAGGAGGAGGAGCTGGGAATGTCTTGCCAGCATCCCAGCTTCAGGTGTCTCCTGCTGAACCCTTCACCCAGTCTCTGGCCTGTCCTTAGGTGTACAAGCAGAAGGTGAAGCACCTGTTGCATGAGCAGCAGGAGACCCTGACAGAGCTGAAGGCAGAGGGAATCCTGTCCCTGAAGCGGGCCCAGAAGGATCACTGGGACCAGGAGCAGGAGCTGTGGAAAGAAAAGCGCTCCTTGAACATCAAATTGAAGGAGCAGGAGTTGGCCAATGAAGCAGCGGTGACAAACCTCTGCCTGGTATGTCCCTGACCAGGCTGGAGCCACCTGTGAGGCACCTCAGCCACAGGATGGGAGCAGGGGCAGGATCCTGCCTCCCTGGCTCGCTCCGTGGGGTGGGGTTTCTGGTCCAGGAATGGGGAGGAGGGATTCCTGGATGACCCCTCTCCTGCAGCGGGGAGCTGTGAGAGCAGCTGGAGAACCTCCAAGCCACTGTTTGCACCAACATTGGGATCAGAATCCTTTCCCAGGGAGCAGGAGGGAATCCCTGGGGATGGGCTGACTCACGATTTGGTTCTCTCCTCTAAGATGGAGCTTCTCCCTTACAGAAACACGAGGAGGAGATGGCCCGGCTGCGTAGCGACTTCGAGGCACAGGCCAAAGGTCAGAGGAGAGGCAGAACCTGCAGGAGCAGGATGGGGAGAGTTGCTCTGGGCTCCTGAGCAGCACCTCGAGCACATGTGGACTGGGAGTTCCCTCCAATTCTGGCAGTTTTTCTGTCCTAGTTCTGACTGTTTTTTCCCCTCAGTTCTGGCCAGTTTTCCCTCAAGTTCCAGCTGTTTTTCCCAGTCACTTCTGTCCAGTTTCCTCCCCAAATCTGTCCAGTTTGCCCTCCAGTTCTGGCTGTTTTTTCTCCCCTCCCCATTTTGGTCACTTTTCTTCCCCAGTTCCAGCCAGTTTTCCCCCAGCTCTGGCCATTTCCCCTCCCCGGTTCCCTGTGCTGTGGCAGTGCCAGCCCTTCTCCTGTGGGGTGGGATGGCTGGAGGAGCCTTTGCTGTGTCCTCACTCCAGTGTCCTCCTCAGGGGACATTGCAGGTTGTGACAGGCTCACTTGGGGCTTTTCCATGCCCTCTTTCCAAGGATGTCATTCCTGGGCTCAGCCCTCCCCGGGCCCCACAAGGGTCTCGATGCCGATGTGGTGGCACAGGAGCTGGGGCATGGGGTCTGCAGGAGGCCCCCCCTCACCCAGCCCTCCTGTGCCCCCCAGAGATGGATGCCAAGTACAACAGGAAGATGCAGGCGCTGCGGGAGGAGATGGACCTGCGGAGGAAGACAGAGATCCATGAGCTGGAGGAGAGGAAGAACCAGCAGATCAGCGAGTTGATGGGGAAACACGAGGGGGCTTTCGGTGACATCAAGAACTACTACAATGATATCACTGCCAAAAACATGTCACTCATCAGCCTCCTGAAGGTACTGCCTATCCCTGTGCCACCCCTCCACCCAGGGACCACTCCTGCCAGGGTGTCACCTGGATTTGGCAGTTCCCAGGTGTTGATGTGGTTGCTGCTGGTGGGCTGAACATCGTCACATGAGCAGGGAGGGTGTCCTGAGGGTGGGGGTGGGTCTCTGAGGGGCTGGGCAGCTCTCAGGAGCCAGCACTCGTGTTCCTAAGAACAGGAGCAGGTGGAGGAGATGAGAAAGAAGGAGATTGTCTTGGAAAAGGAGAAGACAGATGTGCTGCTGCAGAACAAGGAGCTGACGGAGCCACTGCAACAGGCCCAGGAGCAGGTGGCTGAGCTGCAGAAGAAGTTGGCTCGCTATGATAAGGACAAGGAGATCCTGATGGTGCGTGGCCAGCCCAATCCTTTCCTGGGCTCGTTCCTGGAGGGAAAGCAGTGGCCTCTGCCACTCAGTGTGCTGGGATTGCTGGGCAAAGTGAATCCCATTCCGCTTAACTGCGTGTTTGTGGGATCTCAGATAGGGATCCAGAGAGAGATCAGAGTAGCCCTCGCTGCAGAGAGGTTGGTGTGGGGTTGGCCTGGTTTTCTCTGCTGCTCACTCTCCTCCCTTCCTAGAACACATCCCCAACAGTTCCCAGACAATCACGTGCTTCTTAATGCTCCCTTCCTGCTCACAGAACTCCAAAGCCCGTCTGAAAGTCACCCAGAAGGAACTGAAGGACCTTCAGTGGGAACACGAGGTGCTGGAGCAGCGGTTCAGTAAGGTGAGAGCTGCAGGCAGGGCTGGACATCCCTTTCCCTCTCCAAACCCTCTACAGAGGACAGGGCATGGGGGTTTAGCAGAGCCTGTGCTTAGCCGAGGGCTTTCCAAAGCTAATCCCGAGCCGGGCGATAACCGCTGCTCTCAACAAAGCTGCTCCCAGCTCCAGCCTCTCCCACGGTCAGCAGACAGGCCTGGCCTTGTACTTTGCTAAGCAATCCTGCACGCTCCAGTGGGCCCCCCGCGCTACCGGGGGCTGCGTGGGGCAGTGCTGGGAGGGATTGCCACGGGCCTCTCTTGCCGGTGTTCCAGGGTTGCTCCCCTGCTGGTCGGGGCGTGGTGGCTTGGGATGAGCCCTGCAGAGTGAGTTCTCCCCCCCACTAACCCAGATAAATCTGTTGAGGCAGGAGAGAGCTCATTTGCAATTCGTAGAAATCCCCAGGAATATGAACATTGATCCGAGGCCTCGTTAACAATCCATCATTAAGACAGCGCCAGATTCAGAGCGTTCAGAAATAGACTTTGGAGGAGAGGCTGTGTCCCAATTAGGACACTTATTAACTAGCTGTGAGCCAGGGATTGCTGCCAGCTGTGGGGAGGAGAGGAGAGACCCCCCTTTGCCGGGGGGCCCTTGCTGGAGTCTGAATTAGTGCCAAAGGGAGCCTATTGTGGTGTCCCTTGCCTTGAGGGGAGGAGGAGGAGGAAGGAGAAGCACAGGTGCTGCACCATGCAGGGAGGAAGCTGTGCTGCAGCACCTGTCTTCCCTGTGGGCTGCAGGTGCTGTGGGGAATGACTGGGCTGAGCTGCCAGACCAGTTTGCTGCCTTGTTTGTGCTCCACACCATTAAGCAGACCCCAGTCAGGCTCCTGCAGGCCCCTCTGTGCCCCCTGAGTTCCTGAGGGTGGTGTGACACCATGCTGTGCCATCTCCTGGAGCAGGTCCAGGCAGAGCGAGATGAGCTCTACCAGAAGTTCACCAAAGCCATTAATGAGGTGCAGCAGAAGACGGGGTTTAAGAACCTGCTCCTGGAGCGGAAACTGCAGGGACTCCTCAGCCTCCTGGAGCAGAAGGAGGTGGAGCTCGGCGAGGTCGTTGCAGTCTCCAACCTCGACCCCAGCGCCCTGTCCTTGGTCTCGCACAAGCTGAAGGTACTGGGGACTGGCGAGGGCAGGTTTTGGGGGGCAGAGCCTGCTGTGGAGTGCCCACAGCCCCCAGAATGTGCCAGTCCCTTTCCTGTGTGGCTGCAGCTGCCATGTCACTCCATACTGGCACTCCCAGGGCCATGTGCAGTGCCATGGGGCACTCGGCTCTGCCTCTGGAGTGGAGTGTGTGGGTGTCAGAGTTTGGCACTGATCTGTCCCTAGATGGGGCCTGTTTGGAGGAGCATGGCCCCAGGCCCTGCGGCACTGCCAACACCCCATGCTGTCACACAGCTGACTGCTGGTGGGTCCGGTGGCTCCTGAGGGCTCTGTGCACAGGAGTTGCACCCAGTGAACCTCATCTGGCCACAAGGGACAGTGCAGACAGGATCCCGGGGCTCTGTGGCATCTGCCATGCTAAAAATACGTCTGCAAAGAGCCCAGAGACCCACATTCCTGCAGCCTGCCACAGTCAGAGCTGGGGAGCAGCGCTGGCTGTGGGTCGGGCACAGACATGGAATGACAGTTCCACTGCCTCGGTGCCCTCCCGCTTGTCCCCATGCAGGTCCCCACTGTGAGGGGTGGCAGGAAAGCTCTGGAGTGCCCTGGGAATGGGTAGCATGGCCGTGGGACGGGCAGCAGATGTGTCACCTCCCAGCAGGTGGAAGGAAAACACATTCCTGGGATGGCGTCATGGCGTCGGGCTCTCCCGCAGCTGCTGGGGTCCCCGAATTCCTCTGCTCAGCTGCCTTGGGGAGCCTGGCTCCCTGTAATTCCCTCGGTGCCGTGGTGGCAGGGTGGTGCTGCCGTAACAGGTGCTGCAGAGCAGACCGGGATGGCTGTGGTGTTGATCCAGAAGGTCCCTGTCCCTGCCTGGAGCTGGCTGTCCCTGGCAGTGCCAGTTGGAGGGGGCAGGGTGGTGGCCACCTGCCAGGCTGTGCTGCTGAATGCTCTGCTGGCGCTGCAGCTCCTCCGTGTGCTGTGCCACACTGCTCCCGCCTGCAGCATGGCCACCATGTCCCCGGGGCTGGACAGCATGGCCTCACACCCTATCTCCTTCCACAGGACGTGCTCCACTCCAAGAATGACACCATCCAGGACCTGCAGCTCCAGCTGGCCCGAGTCTGCAAGGTGAGGTTGGGAAGGAATCCTGGAGGGATTTAAAAGCTGTGTGGATGTGGCACTTGGGCTTGTGGGTTAGTGGTGGCCTTGGTAGTGCTGGGGGAAGGGTTGGACTTAGAGGCCTTTTCCAACCCAAATGACTCTGTGATTCCATGTCTGTGGTATGGGGGATGGAAATAGGACCAGGGGGTACAGGAAGCCCCTGCCCTGGGGTGTGGAGGGCTGACGGGGACCCTCCTCTTACAGGCACACAATGACATGCTGCAGACCTTTGAGGCGAAGCTGACGGCTTTCGGCATCCCCCTGGACAACCTGGGCTTCCAGCCACTGGCCTTCCCCCTGCCAGGGCAGGAGCTGGGGCAGGGCCCCGCCGGACTTGTTTCGGTGCCCACCTGACACTGGCCAGCACTGAGGGTCCTACTGGCACACTGGAAGTGGGGCTGTGCCCTGTTCCTGCTCTGTGCCATTAAACAGACCCCAGTGAACATCTTTGGGACCCTCTCCTCTCCAGGGGGACCATGATGCAGCTGGAGGGCTCTGGGCATCCCACCAAACACACTGGGCTGCCCCTGGGGCTCCCTCCTTCACTCCCCAACCAGAAGGTGATTTTTTGAGACAAATGGTGGTGTTTGGAGCCTTTAATGGCATTAGTGGCATCGTTCCTGTCCTGCATCCCTGAGGGGAGGCTGTGCCCCCCTAACTGCCCCGGTACGTTGTGTAGGAGTAGGGGCTGATCAGCAGTGGGACATGAAGCTTCTGTGCTGGATCAGTAATGGTGAAGATGACCTGAGGGAGAGCAAGGAGGCAGTGGTGGGGATCCCCCTCCCAGAGCCGGGCCCAGGGGGTTACAGCCCCCCCAAGCCCGACCGTGGCCCCAGACCTGCCCCAGGCTCCCCACGCTCCGTACCTCCACATAGGGGTAGAAGCTGGTGTGCCCCAGCCCCTGCCAATACGGTGCTGTCTCAAAGCGCAGCTTGTAGGTGCCGGCCTTGGCCTGTCCCGCTGCCAGGAGGGGCTGGCAGCGTCCATCCGTGTCCGTGTACCTGAAACCAGACCGAGCCAGCCCTGCTGTATCCCCAGAACCTGCCCTGATCATACCCCCGAGCACTGGCCCTGCTGCTGGCAGCCCCCAGGCGAAGGCTGGGCAGCCGGTTGTGCCAGGAGCCTTCAAACAAGCTCATGGGGACCGGCAGCAGCATTCCTGTCCCATTCCAGTGTCACCAGCTCTCCTACCTTTGTGCCAGCTCCCTCCACTGTGGCCCTGGCTCCACCAGCTGGTCCAGGCGGATGACAAGGCCAGCTGCCGGCAGCCCCGTGACTGTGTTCAGCACGTGGGTGGTCAGGGAGCCGTTCCCCGCATCGGACATGCTGTCAGCCTGCAGTGGAGGGGGAAGGGGGCCTGGGACCTGTCCTGGCAGCACCGTGTGCCTCCCCTTTGGCTGTGCCATAGCCCAGCCCCTACACCCTGTTGTGCCCCACAGTTGGGATATGGGCCCCCACCTCCTTCCCATGCCACAGGGCTCAGCCCCAGGCACCGCAACCACCATAGTGTGGGTGCTGGCTGGTTCCTGCTGGGATGCAGGGCTCTGTGCCTGCAGCAGCACCACGCTCCCTGCTCACCTGCCTGTCCTGGTGGGCCAAAGCATGGCAGCAGCAGCCAGCCTGGACCCAACAAGGAAGTAGCCCCATCCCTGCCCACAGTGTCACGTGCGGGTGGACATTGACCCCCTGACAGCTCTCTGAAGTTGTCTGGGGTCAAAGTCAGAGCAGTTGGGGCAGCTGGGCCCCTTCCTCTGCTGGAGCTCCCAGGCTGGAGTGGGACCACAACTCAGGGCTGCGTCCCAGCAGCCAGCACGGTCAGGCAGCCTCCCTGGAACCGGACCAGCTCCCGCTGCCAGCCCGGCACCGGCTGACACAGAGAGGCACCCCAGCGAGCTTACCTGGCTGTCCTCGGTCCCGCTCAGCCAGGGGCCTGTGGCCGGTGACACTGCGCAAAACGCCATCCCTGGCCCTGGCCGCCCTTCCTGGCGCCACAGCCTCTCCCCACAGAGCTGGTGTGGCTGGATGCCGCTATCCTGGCACAAGGCTCCCGCAGAACTGGGTGCTCCTCCCTGGCTGGGCTGAGCCGGCACAGGCAGCTTCCCACTGGGAGCTGTGCCCAGGAGCCCCACTGGCACCCACTCTCCAGCAGTGCTGCAGCCCTGGGGCTGGTGGCCCAGAGCCCGGCGGGAAGATGGGGTGCGGGGCCAGGAGAAGCTGCCGTGGAGCTGCCATCCCAGCCTCACCTCCCACCATGGAAAGCACCTGGAGCGCGTTGGCGGTGCGGCAGCCGGGTGTGTGGGGCTGCTGAGAGCCAGCACCGGCTTCACCACAGCCTCACCCTCCCCGTCTGGGCTGGGTGGGCAGCGGGGGGGCTCAATATCTCACCTGCACTGTGATGCGGGCGGTGGTGGTGGCTTGCAGCCCGTGTCCCCCCATGTCGGCTGCCTGGATCTCCAGCGTATATTCAGGGACCACCTGCAGTGAGAGGGGCTGTGTCACACCTGAACTGGGAGTGGGCACTGGGTGGGGACCAAGCCCGGGACTCACCTCTGCCACTAGCCCTGGCACGGCCACAGAGATCAGCCCGGAGCTGCTGTCTATGGTGAACATGCAGGGCTGGGGCTGCTCCGGTGCCTGGCTCAGGATGGAATAGATCACGACTCCATTGTTGGAGCTCACAGCATTGTCTGCATCAGTGGCCAGCACCCGCAGCACTGGCGTGCCTGGAGTAGGTGGTTATTGGTGACCTGTCCGCACATCCCCCCAGCACTGCCTCTCAGGCAGTGATGGTGGTCCCACCTGGCTCAGCTCCCTCTGGCACAGAGCCATGGAAAGCTGCCTGGGAGAAGATGGGTGGGTTGTCATTCTGGTCAGCGATGGTGATGATGATCTCCATGGAGTCCTCCACAGGCTGCCCGTTGGCTGACACAGCATGGGCATAGAGCTGTAAGAACACAGTCAGCCTGCATGCAGCCCTCAGGACCGTCCCCCCCTGCTGCAGGTCCCACTCACTCACTGTGTATTTATCCTTCTCCTCCCGGTCCAGAGGCTTCGTCACCTCCAGCCACCCTGTCTCCCGCTCGATGATGAAGATGCCCATAGGGATAGTGTCCACTCCTTGTCCTGTGATGCTGTAGAAAACCTTGGTCTCCTTGTCCTTGTTGGATTTGATCTGGTGGTGAGGCATGAAAAGAGGGGTAAGAGGGGTCCTGGTGCTCCAGGGCCTCTCATTCCCACACCCTGTCCCCTCAGGGCCATGTACCTGCACCAGCTTCTTGGGGAAGGGCCCCGGGTCGTTCTCAGGGCAGTTGATGGGGGGAATGACCCAGTCCCTCTTCTGCCGCTGGAGGCCGCGTCTGTGCTCCGGGAAGGTCAGCGTGTCCCACGGGATGGAGAGTGAGGCTGCAGGACTATGGAGGATCATGGCTCTGCCCCGGGGCTCCGGGGTGGCTGTACAGTGCCCCTGGCCCCATTGGGATGGTCTCACCAGGAGGAGGAGGAGGAGGAGGGTGAAGGTACAGCATGACATGGCTGCAGCTGCACTGGCTGCTCCCCCGGGTGCCAGCTGGGGACCTTCCCTGTGGCGTCGGTGACCTTGGCTGCGTCCTGCCAGGAAAGCAGTGCTGGCTTTCCAGTGCTGCCAGCGCCGGCGGGGGGAGCCTTATATGGGGGCCCAGTGCATGAGATACTGCTCCAGGCTGGGGGGGATAAAGGAGCCCAGGAACCCCCCAGGGCACTGTCCCTCGGGGGCCACAGGACCCCCCCCTGCTCCAGCAGGGTTGGAGTGCAGACATGGTCCCCCCCGGGGGTCCCAGTGCAGGCCTGGGGGTCCTGTGCAGCCATAGGCAGCAGAGGGGGAGGAGGCACCGGGATTAGCAGGAGGAGATCGGGGGGGTTACTGCGGGGAGTGGTGGGGAGAGGTCAAGGGTTCCGGGGTTCATGGGGGCACCTGGAGGGACGCACGGTGGTAACAGGAAGGTACTCAGAGATACCAGGATGCCCGGGCGTGCCCACGGGGCTGTGCAGAGGGGCTGGGGGAAGCAGCGGTGACGGGCTGGGGGCACCGGGGGGTAGCATGAAGAGACAGGGGGTTGCTTGACGGTACCGGGCAGTGCCTGAGGGTTGTCTGGGTCTACCGGGGGTTTCCAGGGGGATACCGATGGGTGCCCCAGAAGTGCCGGGGGTGTCCCCAAGGGGTAACGGCGGGTGACCGGGGGTTAACGGGGCGGGGGGGTATCGCGGATTGTCCAGGGTTGCCGAGAGCTACCAAGAGGCTACCAAGTGGTGCCCTAGGGTTCCCGGGAGATGCTGAGGGTGCCTGGGTGGTACTGAAGGTTGTCGGGGGGTCTCAGGGGAGTACCAGCCAGTGCCCGAGGGGTATTGGGGGGTGCCCGGGATAAAGGAGGGTACCGGGGATTGCCAGGGACTTCCAGGGGGTACCGGCGGTGCCCGGGTGGTACCGGAGGTTGCCGGAAGGGTGCCCGGGTGATAACGGGGAGTGCCATATGGTATCAGGGGTTGCCAGAGGTTTCCAGAGAGGTACCGGCGTGTAACGGGGATTGCTAGTGGTGGCGGGGAGGTAACGGGGGGTACCCGGAGGGTCCCAGGAATAATGGAGGGGGCCCGGGGATTGCCGGGGGATGCCCGGAGGGTGCTGGGGCCGGTCTCCGGGGCGGGGCGGGGCGGTACCTGCGCGGCCACCGCCTCACCTGGGCGGGACGGGGCGGGACGCGGCGGGCGGCGGCCGGAGCGGCGGCGACGGCAGAAGCAGCGGACGGGCCATGCGGGGGCCGCGCTCCGGGCTCTGCCCGCTCTCCATCTTCATCCTTTTCCTCCTCCCCCCGCTCTTGCCGGCAGCCGCCCCCTCCCCGGCCCCGCCGTGCGCCCCCCCGGGGCTGCGCCGCGAGCTGTTCCCCACACCAGGTAACTCACACCGTCGGAGCGCGGCGGCACGGGGACCCCCGGGGCTACCCGAGGACGGGCTGGGGCCCCGATCGGGGCCGGGATCGGGGCTACGGGCACTGTGGGGGCGGCAGGGCCCCCCTTGCTGCCGGGATCGGGCCCACTTTGCCCCCGGCCGTGGGGCCGTTGCTTTTCGCGGGGACCTCGCACTGCCCCGGGTGTGGGATTGGCGGGAGAACCCAGTGTGGGACTGGCGGGGGTCCCCGGGTGTGGGACTCCGCCATGGGGCCGGCTGGGCTCCTGCGCTCTAGAGCTGTGGCCCCCCTGGCCGTGGGGCTCGCTATAGGGCAATGCCCCCCTCCTCGGGGTGCGGGACTTGGCCATGACGCTGGCAGTGCCCTGTGGGACTGGTGATGCCTGTCTGGCCCCACGGGGCTGGTGGCGGCGATGCCGGCGCCTCTGGACCAGCCATGGGGCACCCGCCGGCAGCAGGGCTGGGTCTCTGCAGGGTGGGTGCCCAGCGCCGCGCTGGCCATCGGGATGGCCTCGGGGCCACCCTTCTCCGGCCATGGCGTGCGGGGTCCAGCTGGCCCGAGGCCGGGCAGGGGCCCGAGCTGGAATGGGGACTCAGGGCTGGGTAGGGGCCGAAGCTGGGCAGGGTCTCGCTGCCAACTCTTGGCCCGGTGCTGGCGCTTGGCCTGGGCCTGTTGCCCTCTTTGCTTGGAGGCTCCTGGGGGATTGGGGCTGCCCGGGAACGCGGCCGGAGCCAGCGCTCGGCTAATGGCCGGGGGGGCACTAAAAGCTCTCCTTGGCGGTAAGTGCCAGGGAGAGGCCTCGACCTCCGCTACCACATCCCGCTTCTCATCTCACTTCCATCGACTGAGCCTGCCAGGAATGGAGCTGGGCACTGCCAGGCCCCCGCCGCGGGCAGGGGCTGGGGTCTGGCCGTGCCACTGCGACCCCCCTCCGTGGGCAGCACATGGCCCAGGCACCGACCGTATGGCTCCGCCTCGGCACCCAGCGGGCACGGTGCCATGTGGGCTCTTCAAGGAGGGACCCCGGGGGCACGGTGGGGTTACCCCCTGTGCCGCCCGGCCCTTCGGTGGGGAGAAGTGACGTGTGGCACAGACGGGGACTGAGGGCTCCCCGGGGCTGGGGGCTTCCCCGGGCTCCTTGTTCCCCATACCTGTTTCCCAGGATGAGTGAGATCCCTCCAGCCCCCCTTACCGCGTCCATCGCGGCTGGGAGGGGCCCCGGCACTGCCCTCGGGGCTCAGCCGCTGCGCCCCCGGGCTCGCTGCCTGCCCGGTGTGGGGCAGCCGTGGATCACAGCTCTCCCTGCCTCATTCCATGCTTCCCGCAGCCCCCCCAGTCCCGCTCCCCGACCCCCCCGGGCCGCTCGGCCGCCCAGAGCTGGCTCAGCTCCGCTAATCCCCTAATCCTGGCCCCGGGGGGGTGCGGAGTCAGGGCCATGTCCAGCACGGGGGATGCAGCGTGGGAGGGGGGAGGGAGATTCAGAGCCCAATGTCCTGGCCACGGGGGGTTGGGAGCCCCTAGGGGGTGACACAGCACCGGGAGGGGGCTGGGACAGGGCTCTGCCCGCCCAGGAATTTCCCATCATCTGTGAAACAAAGCCGAAACTTCCACCGAAACTTCCACTGCACTCCCGTACGGCTCCCGGTGTCCCTTACCCCGCTTCCACTGTCCCCTGCCCCACTCCCACTGTTCCCTGCCCCATTCTGCCTCGGGACTCTGGGGGATTGCGGGTCCTGGAGCTGGTGGTTGCTGCCTGGGCGTGCTGGGGGACAGGTCCCCTCCCAGCCTCCTGACCCTCCACCCTCGCAGGGAGCTCCAGAGGCTGCACGGGGCCGTGCGGGACCGAGGAGTGTGATGCTGGGGTGCAGAAGGACACGGGCCCCATGCAACTGCCGAGGGTGGGCAGAGCACTCGCCATACCCCTCCCAGATGCTGATTCCCCCTGGGATGCCACCGGCCAGCCGGACCCTGTTCCAGTTCTCATGCAGAGCAGGCGCTCCCCCCAGGTAATCCTGCCCTGTTGTGTTCCCCATCCCCTGCCCCCCTAGCCAGCTGTGCCCTCACTCATCCCGATCCCACAGGAGCTCCCCAGGACTCACGCTGCTCTCAGGAGGCAGAAGAGGGACTGGGTGATCCCCCCCATCAAGGTTCCTGAAAACGAGAGGGGCCCCTTCCCCAAAAAACTGGTTCAGGTAAGAGGGGGTTGATCTGAGCTGGAGGTCTGAGCACAGAGGTGGGTGCTGGGATGTGATGTGGTGGGGGGTACTGACCCCCTCCCCATGTGTCCTCCCAGATCAAATCCAACCGGGACAGAGACACCAAGATCTTCTACAGCATCACAGGGCAGGGAGCGGATGCCCCCCCCGAGGGCATCTTCACCATTGAGAAGGAGTCAGGCTGGATGAAGGTGACGCAGCCGCTGGACCGCGAGCACATCGACAAGTACCACGTAGGTCCCTGCTGGGGTGCACTGGGGGGTGTCAGAGTACCATGCAAGATCCCCTACTCACCCCCCTGCCCCACAGCTCTTCTCCCACGCCGTGTCTGAGAATGGGAAGCCAGTGGAGGAGCCGATGGAGATCATTGTGACCGTGACGGACCAGAACGACAACAAGCCCCAGTTCACGCAGGAGGTGTTCAGGGGGTCTGTGCTGGAGGGAGCTCTGCCAGGTAGGACCCTGAGCCTTGGGGGAGCTCTGCATCCTACCAGCCACATCCCTCAGGGACAGCCCTGGGACCATCCCCCCACACCCCGCTCACCGAGACATCCCTGTCCCCAGGCACCTCCGTGATGCAGGTGACAGCCACGGATGCGGACGATGCAGTGGAAACCTACAATGGTGTCATTGCCTACTCCATCCTGAGCCAGGAGCCACGGGAGCCCCATCCCCAAATGTTCACTGTCAACCGGCGCACTGGCACCCTCAGTGTCATCGCCAGCGGCCTCGACCGGGAGGTGTGTTCTGTGGCACTGCAGGGTGGGGGTCCCAGCTCCAGGCAGGGGACTGACAGGGTGTCTGTCTGTCTCCATCCCCGGCAGCGTGTGCGGGAGTACACACTGACAGTGCAGGCGGCCGACCTGGATGGCGAGGGACTGACCACCACGGCGCTGGCCGTCATTGAGATCGCCGACATCAATGACAATGTCCCTGAGTTCGACCCCAAAACGGTAACGTGGGCCCCCCACCGGGTGGGACCCTCCTCAGTGCCCTCCAGGCCATGGTGCTGACAATGGCCCTGACCCGCAGTATGAGGCAGCCGTGCCGGAGAACGTGGCCGGGCGGGAGGTGGCCCGGCTGGCTGTCACCGACCTGGACGAGCCTGGCACGCCGGCGTGGAGAGCCATCTACTCCATCCTGCGCGGCAACGACGGCGGTGCCTTTGCCATTGCCACTGACCCTGTCACCAATGAGGGCATCCTCCGCACAGCCAAGGTCTGTGTCACCATTGTGTCACCCCATTGCTACCCACAGTGGGGTCCTGCCTGCCCCCCTCTCACTGCCCCTGTCCCCCCCTCTCCCAGGGTCTGGACTACGAGGCAAAGCAGCAGTTCATACTCCACGTGGCAGTGGCCAATGAGGTCCCCTTCGTTGTGAAGCTGCCGATGGCCACCGCCACGGTCACGGTCACTGTGGAGGACGTCAATGAGGCACCAGTGTTCGTGCCACCGGTGCAGCTGGCCACGGTGTCAGAGGATGTGCCGCCGGGGCAGACCCTCACCTCCTGCACAGCCCAGGACCCCGACAAGGCACAGGGGCAGAGGATCAAGTAAGTGGGGACAGGGTCTGAGTCGAGGTATGGGGGGTCTCCACTGCCCCCTGCCACGGCACCAGCTCCCCTGTGCCCTCCCAGGTATCTGGTGGGACATGACCCAGCGGGGTGGCTGGCCGTGCACCCCGACAACGGCCTGGTGACAGCACGGGACCATCTGGACCGCGAGTCCCCCTTCACGAAGAACAGCACTTACATGGCTTTGCTGCTGGCCGTGGATGATGGTGAGGGACATGAAAGGGCCCTTGTTCCCTCTCCCACGTGAGGGGCACGTGCTGCCATTGCTGGGAAACACATCCCAGCCTTCAACATGGAGCAATGCTGCCTGGCCCCACCCCTGCCCGGGGCATCTGTGGCCCCATGAGGATCTTGGGTTTGGGACTTCCCCCTTCAGCATCGCTTTCCACTATCCCTACCCTTGCCTGGAGTATCCCTGTCCCCGTGAGAATCTTGGTTTTGGGGCTCCCCTCTGTCCCCACCCCTGCTTGGGGTATCCACATTCTTGAGAGAATCCTGATTTTGGGGGTCCTCCCTCCAGCATCACTCTCTTCTGTCCCCACCCCTGCTTGAGGCATCCCCATCCCTGTGAGAATCCTGATTTGGGGTCTGACTGACCCCGGCTCAGTCACCCATGTCCCCATGAGGGTCCTGGTTTTGGGGTCCCCCCTGCAGCATCATCCCCCCTCCAGGCTCACCACCAGCCACGGGCACAGGGACACTGCTCCTCACCCTGCTCGATGTGAATGACAACGGCCCCGAGGCCGAGCCACGGGACATCACTGTGTGCCAGCGCAGCCCCGAGCCCCAGGTCCTCACTGTCACTGACAGGGACCTGCCCCCCAACACCGGCCCCTTCCGTGCCGAGCTCACCCATGGCTCAGGGGACAGCTGGGCCGTGGAGGTGGGTGACACAGGTAACGTGAGGGCTCCAAAGGTAACGTAGGGGGTCCTTGACAGAGGCAGCTGTGCCACATTTGTGCGCCCAGTGAGTCCCCTACAAGCCCCCCCATCTCCCACAGGTGACACAGTGACCCTGCGGCTGGTGGCAGCGCTGGAGCCAGACACCTACAGCGTGTACCTGCGGCTGCTGGACCGGCCGGGCAGGGCCCAGGTGACCGTGGTCACCGCGCGGGTCTGTGCCTGTGAGGGGCCAGCGCAGGGCTGTCCCCAGAGACCCCAGCCCGTCACCGCCCTGCCCTTCGTCCTCGCAGCCCTGGGCGCGCTGCTGGCCCTGCTGCGTGAGTGGGAGTCCCGGGAGTCCTGGGGCTGTGGGGATGTCCCCAGCATTGGGCACAGTGGGCGACACTCGTCCCTGCTGACACCTCTGCTCCCCCCCAGTCATCCTGCTGCTGCTGCTGCTCTTCGTGAGGAGGAGGAAGGTGACGAAGGAGCCTCTGCTGCTGCCTGAGGATGACACGCGGGACAACATCTTCTACTATGGGGAGGAGGGTGGTGGCGAGGAGGACCAGGTGGGTATGGGGAGTTTGAGGGGCCTGGTGGCGAGGAGGACCAGGTGGGTATGGGGAGTTTGGGGGGCCTGGTAATAGTGAGGGCAGCCTGACCCTGACCCTGTGTGTGTGTGTGTGTGTGTGTGTCTCCAGGACTATGACCTGCGGCAGCTGCACCGGGGGTTGGACGCCCGTCCCGAGGTGATCCGCAATGACGTGGCCCCCACCCTCCTGCCAGCCCCACAGTACCGACCCCGACCCGCTGACCCTGATGACATCGGCACTTTCATTGAGGAGGTGAGTCTGGAGTTTGGGCCCAGGGAGGTGATACCCACATCTACACCAGCTCAGGGGTAAAAAGCTCTGACTCCTCTGCCCCTCCTAGAACCTGAAGGCGGCTGACACGGACCCCACAGCTCCCCCCTACGACTCGCTGCTGGTGTTCGACTATGAGGGTAGTGGCTCGGAGGCCACCTCGCTCAGCTCCCTCAACTCCTCCAACTCTGATGAAGACCAGGACTATGACTACCTCAACGACTGGGGCGGCCGCTTCCGCAAGCTGGCTGAGCTCTATGGTGGCGGGGAGGAGGACGATTAGGGACCCCTGCCTCGCTGCCCCCTGCCTTATCGCTGCTTGTGCCTTGGGGATTCCCCCCCCGCCATGCCCTCCCCCCCCCCAGCGCAGCCCCCTCACCTCCTTGCCTGCGTTTTTGTGGTTATTATCTATTTTTTAAGGTATGGAATGACAGCGTGCAATGCTGCAGATGAGGGGACGGCAGCTGGGTCAGTTTTAATAAAGGATTTGGTTTTTTAGACACTCCAGGTTCTGTGTTACTTTGTGCCCTGGGGGTCAGCGCTGACCCCAGCCCCTCAGTGACCCCCTAGCCCTGTCCCCCCTTGCCCACCCCAGTGTGGTTCCCACAGCACAGCAGCAGCATCACCTACGCAGGGGCACTGCCCGTTGCCCCCCAGGGTGTCTTTGTCTCTATGGGGTGCTGGTGGGCAGGGGCAGGATGCTGACTCCCCACCCTGCGCTCCAGGGCATTGCTGGTGCCAAATCCCTCCCGCCCTGGCAATCCCCCCTGTGCTAAGGCAGCTGGAGGCCAGCAACCCCCCAGGTTGTCACCCTAGGGTGCCCAAGGGTGCTGGCATGGGTGGGCATGGCAGCCCCCAGCCCCAGCAGGACCCTCAGCCCTGCGGTTCTCCCACTGACTCCAGGCTCAGCCACTGGGAGCCATGGGTGGGGGCAGCTGGTGGCATGAGGCATCCCTGAAGCCGTGCTGTGGGGTCAGCCCTGGCCATGCTGTGTCTGGGGCCAGAGAGGTGAAGGAGAGGACAGGGGGCTTCAGTACCCCAAAGGGCCCTTGCTGCATCGGGGATTCCCTGGGTACAATGTTTGCTCACCTGTAGAGCTGGGACCTGTGGGGCCATGGTGTGGGGACACCCTGGGGTGCTCCTGACTCTTGTCATCCACAAACAGCCCCTGCTCCCACAGTCCTGGATGGGCACCCACGGAGAGCCTGGGCTGGGTGCTGACAGTATTGGGGTTGTGGGGGGTCTGGGGGTATCCAGGTCATGCAGAGCATCAGGGGTATTGGGGATACTGGGGGCTGGTGGGGTACTGCGGGTACCAGGGGCTGAAGGGGTATCAGGAGTACCACGGTACTGGTGAGTAGTAGTACCGTGAAGGGTGTTGGGGGTAGCGGGATCCCGGGGGCGCGAGGGTCCAGGATCCCGGGAGTACCGGGTTCCCGCGTACAGGCGGGACGGTACCGCCTCCCATCGGGGCGGGACGGGGCGGTTCCCGGGGGGGACCAGGACCTGCGGGGCGGGATCGGGATCGGTTGGGACCCGACGCACCTGCGGCTCTGCAGCAGCAGCTCCTGATCCCTCCGGCACCCACCGGCACGGCACCGGCACTAGCACCGGCACCGGCACTAGCACCGGCACCGGCACTGGCACCAGCCATGGGGCGGCGGGCGGGCTGCCCAGCCCCGCTCTGCCTCCTCCTCCTCCTGCTCCAGGTGAGCCACGGGATGGGGCGGCAGGACCCTGCCCGGGACTCCGCCAAGACCCTCCCCGGGGCAGTGGGACCCTGCCTGGAACCCTGCCCGATGTTAACGTCTCACTCTGGGCAGAGCGGGCACCGGCTGTGCCAGCGGGCAATGCCATGCCAGCCTGGCTTCACTGCCGAGACCTTCGCCCTGACCGTGCCACGGGACAGCGTGGCAGCAGGACGGGCCCTGGGACGAGGTAAGGACATGGGGATGCGTGGCTGTGAGGGACAGGGAGGTTGTGGGAATGTGGACAGGACCGTGGGGACGGGGATGGGACCACGGGGACGGGGACGGGACCGCAGGGACGGGGTGGGTGTGTTGAACAGGAGTGGGCAATGGGGGACACGAAGCCGTGGCTCTGTGCCTGAGTGATTCTTGGGTGAGCATGGGGACGTGCTCTGCCCAGTTCCATGGGGACAATGCTGTGGCAGTAGGGATGGTGCCATGGGGGCAGTTTCATGAAGGTGGGGATGGTGCCATGATGGTGGGGACGGTGCCATGGTGGTGGGGACAGGCTTGCTGTGGTGGCAGGTGACACTGGGGACAGAGCTGTGGTGGCGTGTCCACACACAGAGGTGAGGCCGCAATGTGGCCACCAGTGGTCCCAATATGGGCACTGGTGGTCCTGCAGGACGGGACGGCATTGTGGCACAGGGGCAGTGGGTGCCGCTCCCCGGGGTGCGCCGGCGTAGGCGGCGCTGACTCAGGCGCCGGAGACCTGTTGGGGCCGGCAGATTGGGGTGTGGGTGCACAGGCACCCATCCTGCCCCACGCCTCACCTGGCACCCAGGGTTCACCGAGGCAAACTCCCCTTTGGCCCCCCAGTGCAGCCCCCCAGGGTGGCTCTTGGCAGGGGGATGGGCACTGGGACGGGCACTGGGTTAGGCTTCTCAGGTTTTGGGGACATTGGTGTCCCACTGTGCTGGCACCAAAGCCCTGTCCCAGTGTGGCGGGGGCACTGGGGAGAGGTGCACCCAGAGAAGCAAGTACTGGGGGCCTGCTGCCACTTTGGGATCCCCAAAAGGAGCTCTGTGGGTACTGGGGCTGCACAGCAGTTGGGCCGTCGCCATCTGTGCCAGTTCATGGCTGACGGTGGTGTGCCAGGGTGGTTGAGGTGGGCACAGAGCTGAAGGGTACCGAGCACCCAGCAGTGTGCCAGGGGCTCCCAAACACCCTTGGTTCCAGAAAGGCTTTGCCTGGGTGAGCCAGGAGCCAAACCCTGCCCCACACCCCAGGAATTGCATTTGTTGGCTTTGTGGTTGATCATTAACAGAGTCGCCTGCGCAGAAACCGATGTCCATCGGGGCTGTGCCTGATACCAGGGTGACGGGGCAGCCCTGTGGCACAGAGACTTCCTGGAAATCCCATGTTCTTGCACCAGCACTCTCAGTTCTCGGTCCCGGCACAGACAGGGTGTGGGAGGAAGGAAACGGCCGTCTGCCCGTGGGGGCTGTGTGTCACCCAGTGGTTCCTGGCTGTGCCACGGCGATGCCAGCCATGGGGTGGCCAAGTCTGGTGGGTGTCAGGCCATGCCGTGCTACACAGCAGCTCAAAGCCCTCGGCCAGGCTGAGGAGCCGGCCTGTAATTAGCCTGATGAGTTGAGCGCGGTGTTTTCCCTCCAACAGGTCCAGACAGGCCCCATGCGGCGCCGGGGCGGTGAAACACCTGTGCGGGGGCTGCGGCCTCCCTGGGGCTCTGCTCCATGGGTCTGGGGGCTCAGGTGTGGTGGGGACGTGGCTGACCCTGTCAGCCCTGGGTGGGGAAACCTCGAGAGTCTGAAGTCACAGCGAAACTAGGGTGACGTCAGTCATGGGACGTGCCACCCGCAGCACTTTCACCCCGGGGTGAGCCCCCCCGCCCTGGCACTGCTGGGGTGTTGGCACCACTAGTGGTGGCATTGCAGGGGTGATGGCACCTGGCTTTGCCCATGCTCAGCCCTGTCAAGACCCCATGGGACGTGGGGTGGCTTTGGGGGGCTACCCTGGTCCCCTGTGTGGGATCTCAGGTCCACACCCTGTTTGGCAGCCTGGTCATGCCAGAGTCTGGTTGTCCCAGCGCCCTGTGGGGGAGCGGAGGGGAAACAGATGGAAAGTGGGGGGGATCCCACTGTGGGACCCTCTGAGGTCTCCTCTCCTCCCACCCCATCATTCCCAGAGAGGAGAGAGGCCCCCGGGCTCCCAACCTCAGGGAAGGGAGGGCTGGGGACGGCTCTCCTTCAGCCAAACTGGAAAAACAGGTTGTGCATGGCCAGGTGGGAAGGGAGGGAGCAGGAGAGGGGGGAGCGGGAAAGGGGGAGCAGGCACTGAGCACCCAACACTCGTTGAATCCAGTGGGGGCTGAGCACTGCGCACTCATTACACCCAGTGTGGGGCTGGGGGCCTCACGCTGCCCCTCGCTGCACCCACCCAACGCCGTGCCAGGGCCCAGAGCCAGGCACTGTGCCTGTACCCGTGGGTGCTGAGTGCCTCTTGTTCCCCACTACGGCAGCACCCGACCTGTCCCGGCACGTTCCTGCCCAGCCGGCCCCACCGGCTCCCCCCACCCCCAGCCCTGGCTGGGGGTCCTGCCGTGGGGCTGAGCAGGGCTGGCATCACACCTGCAGGTTCCCATGGGCTGGGGCGGGGGCACCGTGGTGGGCAGGGGGGCAGCGATCACTCCCCCTCCATCGCACAGCCACCCCCGAATTCCTGAGCTGCGCGTGGGCTGATGTCACCCCCACTGGTGCCTTCCACCCTGGGCACGTCCCCTTCCCGCGGCGGGTCATGCTGGGGGATGGCAGCCGCTGGCTCTAACAACTCTCTCCAGACAAAGGGTGCTTGTTCAGGAGCTGCGGCCGCGCGGCACCGGTTCATGTGATGCCGGCTGACCACCTCTGCCTGCTGGCCTGGCTTGTGCCACACCCAGTGTGGTGCCAAGCCGGTGACATTGGGACCTTGCCTGCCCCGGTGTATGGCAGGTGCCCGCTGTGCCTGGGGTTGGGGGTCCCAGAGGGTACCTGGGCAGGCTGGGTGCACCAAATGCCAGAGGTGCCCTGGGGGTAGCACCTTCTTGCTCGGAGGTTAATGTCCCAATCCCACAGCATGACACATCCTGGGCTGTCTCTGCTGCAGATGTGTGGTCACAGTCCCCAGCCACATGACCTTCATAGGTCACTGTATCCCACCTGCAGTGCCTGGGCTGCTGGGACACTGGGTGCCAGCATAGGTGAGCAACTGTGCCCTTGGTTTTATCAGAAAAGCAGCCAGAGCAGTGGCACCCTCTGCCTCAGGCATGGTGGTGGTGACATGCCACACCCGGAGACATGCTGTGCCACAGGGTACACCTGCATGGGGGTGTGCCACGTGCCATATGTGGGGATGTGCCATGTGTGGTGCCGTGCCGTACACGGTGCTGGGGACAGGGACATGTTGTGCCAAGTGCCACTTGCCCTATTGTCACTGTCCGGCTGGGATCCTATGGCACTGCTGATCGTGCAGTGCCCAGTCCTGGACCAAAGCCAGGGCAGGGATGCACCACGTGCCATGCCCAGGAGAGGATCCTGGCAGGCTGTGTGTGGAGCATCCCTGCTGCCCCCTGTGACCCCACGGTCCCCCCTGGGCCCCTGAGCTGTGGCCACGCCGTGTGTGCCCATGTCCCCGGGACACCCTGCCCACCTGCTGTCCTGTCCCCAGTGAGCTTTGTGGACTGTGGAGAGCCGCACTGGGCCGCTTTCCTCCCGGATGACACGCGCTTCAAGGTGAGCCGGGATGGCGTCGTTTCT